TGAAAAATATCAGGAAATAAAGGTCAGGTAAGAGCCCAAGTGGGCGGGTGGGCAAAAACATCAGCAGACAGGTTCTATGTCTGCTGCTCTTCAGAGCTACCAGTTCTGTCCGCAGAGGTGGACAGAACCGGTAGAAACCCACCCCTGCATCTGATCTCTCTCTGGGTTCCAAGCAACCCAGACTGTCTTTGTATCTATAGAAGGAGTAATTGTAGACAACAAAAGCAAATTATGGTAACTTTTTTTTATTCATGCTTAGCTCCAAGTCCACCAAGAAGGAAAGCTTTTAGGAAATGGACTCCACCTCGTTCTCCTTTTAATCTGGTTCAGGAAACACTTTTTCACGATTCATGGAAACTTCTGATTGCAACTATATTTCTGAATAAAACCTCAGGTAAATAAGAGACCAATCATGGTCACCTTGAATTCCCATGTATGGAATTGCTTTCCTGTGGTTCAGTCCAGTGCTGTTGGGACACGTGCAATTCATTTTGCAGACAAGTTAAAACATAAATTTCCCAGGGAATGCTAATCAGGCTATAAAGTGCTATTTAGTTTAGTTTAGTTTACTTACTTGTCATTGCATGTAAGTGGTTTTATCCAAATTATGATTTGATGTATTGCTAGTGAATGTGGATTTTCTCCCTAAGAAAGAGGCTGTCATCCAGCTGGTAAGGAGATCCAGAAAGAGGACAATATTCAACCTAAATTATGCAAAGTGAATTAATGCTACTAAAATGGTAGAGATTCAGTAGTAACATTTGCTCAATATATCATGCAAGTTTGGTTGGCTCATATACATATATAGTTTAAAAATCAGCTGATGAAGTTATGACTATACTGACAATATAAACCATAGGGCTGCCTCACACAACACCGATTTTCTGTCACTGAAATTACTTACATGTAGGAAATGTGAATCCTGTACTTAAGTTGTAATACACTGCTCACAAAAATAAAGGGAACACTTAAACAACACAATGTAACTCCAAGTCAGTCACACTTCTGTGAAATCAAACTGTCCACTTAGGTAGCAACACTGATTGACAATCAATGTCACATGCTGTTGTGCAAATGGAATAGACAACAGGTGGAAAGCATAGGCAGTTAGCAAGACATCCCCAATAAAGGAGCTGTTCTGCAGGTGGTGACCACAGACCACTTCTCAGTTCCTATGCTTTCTGGCTGATGGTTTGGTCACTTTTGAATGCTGGCGCTGCTTTCACTCTAGTGGTAGCATGAGACGGAGTCTACAACCCACACAAGTGGCTCAGGTAGTGCAGCTCATCCAGGATGGCACATCAATGCGAGCTGTGGCAAGAAGGCTTGCTGTGTCTGTCAGCAGTGTCCAGAGCATGGAGGTGCTACCAGGAGACAGGCCAGGATATGTGGAGGAGGCCGTAGGAGGGCAACAACCCAGCATCAGGAGCGCTTATGAGACCATATCCTGGTGCGGTTGGCCCTGGGTTCCTCCTAATGCGAGACAATGCTAGACCTCATGTGGCTGGAGTGTGTCAGCAGTTCCTGCAAGACGAAGGCATTGATGCTATGGACTGGCCCGCCCGTTCCCCAGACCTGAATCCAATTGAGCACATCTGGGACATCATGTCTCGCTCCATCCACCAACGCCACGTTGCACCACAGACTGTCCAGGAGTTAGGACATGCTTTAGTCCAGGTGTGGGAGGAGATCCCTCAGGAGACCATCCACCACCTCATCAGGAGCACGCCCAAGCGTTGTAGGGAGGTCATACAGGCATGTGGAAGCCACACACACACTACTGAGCCTCATTATGACTTGTTTTAAGGACATTACATCAAAGTTGGATCAGCCTGTAGTGTTTTTTTACGCTGTAATTTTGAGTGTAACTCCAAATCCAGACCGCCATGGGTTGCTAAATTTGATTTCCATTGATAATTTTTGTGTGATTTTGTTGTCAGCACATTCAACTATGTAATGAACAAAGTATTTAATAAGAATATTTCATTCATTCAGATCTAGGATGTCTTATTTTTGTGTTCTCTTTATTTTTTTGAGCAGTGTATATCAGTATCCTAAAAACTCTCAATAGGTTTGCGCCAAGTTACTTTTGTGCAGAAAAATCTGTCTGGGAAATTGCAGCCAGCTTTGCAAATTCAGTGCAGATGTTGTTATTCACAGTTTCTTATTTTTGTCTAGGAAAGATGGCTATCCCTGTGTTGTGGGAATTTTTTAAGAAATATCCTTCACCAAAAGTAGCAAGAACTGCCAATTGGAAAGAAATGTCAGAATTGCTTAAACCTCTTGGCCTATATGAACTCAGAGCAAAGACCATTGTCAAATTTTCAGGTAATAGCTACAATATTTCATATGTTTCATGTATATTATCTTTTAAAACCTTGATACAGCTCTATAATATATCAGTATTTTTATTTATTGTGGTTGGAAGACCAAAACTGAGGAAGGATAATTTGCCAAAGACCTCTTAATACATTCATGATTGAGACATGAAGTGGAAATTTATTCCATATATTTGAAGTCATTACCATTTAGTACCTGTTGTGATCCAAAACACATGTATACACAATCTGTATAATCTCTATTCATGAGCTTTTTCATGTTTTTTGTTTAATTTATGTACTGATACTTTTAAATTTGATTTTTTTGCCATTGTTAAAACAGTTTGGAGAGTTTGGCATTGGAATATTTTAGTAATATGTCATTTTTGGACTTACTGTGAAATTGTTTGAACATAGAAGTGAAATGCCATTTATGTTATTTATTAGTATTCTATTTTTGTTAGGTACTAGATAGTACAACAAGCTCATAACTTAATTTATCAAGTTTTGATTTCTTGTAATTTGCATTTTTATAAATGAGCAATTATTCTTGAAGTCATAAGTTATTTTTCATAAACTTAAAACTAATAGAATTTAGTCCAGCTTTTTATTATGACTATTTCTTTTGTTCCTTAGATGAATATTTGGTTAAACAGTGGAAATATCCAATTGAATTACATGGAATTGGAAAATATGGAAATGATTCTTACAGAATTTTCTGTGTGAATGAATGGAAAGAGGTAATAGATGCTTTTTAATGAAAATCATTGAGAGCCTAATATTAATTTCAGCAATATTAATATTATAACAATATTAATATTACTTACAGTAATATTAATTACAGTAATCTGTAACCTAGAAATAATACAAAAGTTATAATTACAGCTAGATACATGGTTCATATGAATTAGAACTTCAGAAAATAACAAAATGTTATTTAAGACTTGAATATCCTTTTTGCATTTTGTCCTTATTGTGTCTTAAAATATAACAATCAATAGCTTTGCAAAGTATTTTTAATATCACAACCTAAGAAATAAAACAGGACCCTCCATACTTTTCTCATATTTATCTGAGAGGTCTTGTGCTAATAATCACTTTTGCTCTGTGATAGAGGGGAAATTTTTATACTTCAGCAAATAAAATAAATACAATAAAATGTGCAAAATGGCTTATGGATGACATTAGATCACTGATGTACTGATGAGGCCAAAACATGTTCATTTCTCTTTCAGGTACAGCCACAAGACCACAAATTGAACATTTATCATTCCTGGCTGTGGGAAAATCATGACAAATTAAATCTTAATCATTAGCTCTCTATAATCTCTTGGCAACCCCTTTCTCATTTTTTAAACTGCTTTTTCTCCTATCCCACTTGATTAACTATAAATATGTGTTCCTTTTATATGCCTGTTCAGAATTTATTAAATTTTATTCTATTTCTCATTTTCACTCCTTTGATCATGGAAATTTTAAATACTGAAGTTTGTTTACTGTAATACATCAGAACACAATACTCTAGGACTCTGTACAATTTACAATTTAGTAAGCATCTAGAGATTCCAATTCAAGTTACCTAACCAATCAAATTCAAGTTACCTAACCAATCAAATTCAAGTTACCTAACCAAAGAGGCTTCTTCTACTGATTTCCTGGTTGCTGTTTCTCATTCAGACTGGATCAGGAAGATGGTGATAAAACCAATGAAAATCAAGAAACCAGTGAGAAGGTGTGAATCTAAACTATTGTGACAGCCCCCATCCAAATCTGTTGCTCTTTAGGATCGGCTTTCTGACAGCAAATCATGTTAAAGATAGGAAGCCATGCCAATGAATATAAAACAGGGTTTTATTAGTTAGAATCTGGCTTGTGGAAGAAAAGAATCAATTCAATAAGGGATGTTTCTGAAGAGGTGGAAGGACCGATGAAATGCCAAATTAGCTTTGTCTTCATTTTAGTCTCCTACTTGGTATCTAATCAAGTATATTTTTCATATTTACTACTATTTTGAACCACAAAGTAGTTTAAACCTCTTTAACCTCATGCTGTATCTGATTTTTTTAGGTGTGATTTATCATTTCAGCAGGTTAGTGGTTTGGCAGTAACCAGGAAAAGCTTCGTTCACACAATGGGTCGAATTATACAATATGTACTCGGCTATTTTGGCTTGCAAGCCATGATTTAAGACAACATGGAAAGCTATTCCTCTGTCACTGGAACTTAGTTAAGAAACTTTAGACGAACCTTGATTTAGGGCCATAGACACATAGTCACTCCATAAATGGCTATTCTCTCAAGATCCAGCTGCGTGTCATGAATGGAGGGGGTCGTCAAGGCGTGACGCTAGCTAAGATTTACTGCCTATCCTAGTTCTGCTAATTAGCTCCCCGTCCCAGCCCTAAAAAAAAGGGGGGGGATGGAAGGAACGGGAGCACCGAGGCGGGAAAGGCCGGCACGAAATTGACACGGGCGTCCCCGCGGCTTTGCGACACAACGTTCGATCTTCTCCCGCTGCGCCAATCAACTGCATGCAAGCCCGCCTGCCTGCCCGCCCGTTGTCTTGGTGCCCACCAAAACAAATTTTTGCCTTATGCTCTAATGGTGGCGCGTTAAGCGGGGCGGGGGGAACCGTTGTCAGGTCATTTTTTACCTCAGCTGAGAGAAAGAAAGCTTGGCGAAGAGAACGAGGATTTTTCCCTCCTGCTTTTTTCTCTCTTCTTCCTCGACTCCAGAATTACAGAGAACGGCGGGCTTTTCCTGTCTTTCGCACAGCCCAGTAAAACGGCGTTTGTTTGTTTTTTAACCACGGGTCCGAAGACGCCGACAGTGAAGTTTTCTGCTCTAGGACGTCGCAATGTCGAGCAAAATGGAGCAGCTTAGCTGGTTATCACAAAGCACGAGAAACCGGAGTGACATTTCAGGGACCACTCACATAACGCAATCTCTTTACAACTCCATTTCTTCATTTCTCCGGTTGGTAGAATTCAGCAAGGGGCCTCCCGGTTCATAAAGATTTTTCTTTTGGTTTTCTCAGGGGTAATAAGTAGAGTTATCCGATGTGATTGCAGAAATCGGAACGGTCGCTTGATGACGAGTTAGAATGGCTTGGGAGATTCTCAAATCATCCAGGACGTGGTTGTCCCAAAGGGGCTTTTCCAAAAAGCAACTGGACTTTTCTTGTTTTGTTTTGTTTTTAACTTGAAAAAGTTTCGCTTCTCATCGAAGTTCTGAAGAAGTTTCTTGCATGAGAAGCGAAACGTTTTCAAGGACAAAACCAAGAAAGTCCAGTCGACTTTTGGAAAAGCCTCTTTGGGACAAATGTTCTGCCTCTATTTTCTTGGCACTGAATGGTCGAATGAATAGGTTTAAGAGCTAGGGAATTTCTTTAGGAAAGCAGTTTGGTCTAGTTAAGGCACTAGAAAGTGGGAGGCTATGACTTCTAGTTCTGCCTTAGCCATGATACCCAACTGGGTGACATTGGGCCAGTCACTCTCAGCCCAGCCTGATCCACAAAGTGGTTTTTGTGGAGAAAATAGGAGGAAGAAGGTGTGTTTTGGATATGTTTAGCCACCTTGAGTTATTTGCAGAAAATAATAAAGGTGGGATATAAATAAATAAAGCCATCTTATCTCCAGGCTAGTAATTCTTTACACAGCAGTGTCCCCAACCAGATGCTGTCCATATGTGGGAGATTGGAATTTTCAGGCCCTGCCAATCAAGATTGGAAGCATTCTGTCAGCTACAGTTCATATGCTTGGCTCCATCAAGTTCAATGCAAGAGCGGGAACTTTCAGAGGCTTCTATCCCAGCCCTGCCTGGAGAGACACTTTGGATTCTACCTGGGCAATTTTTAATGCAATCTTGTTGACACGTTTAATTGTTGTCTTTTTTTATTGGGGGGGGGGGGGGGGGGATATGCGGAAAATCACTTTTGCATTGTGGCCTCACTTTCCCTTAAGAAAGGAAAGCTCATAAATAGATTTTATCCCATCTGTATAATTTCTGAAAAAATCCATATCTTTAAATATCTGTTGAAATCTTAGGTTGATTATGTTACTTTATTTCTGTACCCAAGAAAACAAAAATTAATATTTACAGAAATTAATATTGCTAGATGTACCATTAAGTATTTTAATTTTATCATGTTTTTGTTGTATTTTATTTTTTAAAAAGACTGGATGAGTGGTATTAATGATTTTGACTCCTTCTTTTCAGTGACACTGAAAGTGAGCCCACCTTAAATGAAGAGTCTCCTAAAGAATCTGCCTCAGATAGGATTTTAAGCCATTGCTTTAAACAGTATAAACTGAGAAATGAATATCCCTATTTTTCCCTTAAATTGAGACCAAATAGATTTGGCCCACCTAAACCAAGACGGCGTATTCTTATTGCACCACCTATGGACAGTGTGGCTCCTAGTATTCACAAGCCTTGGCCACCTGTCCCCAGTGAAGTGGAGAAAGTTCAGCAGCTGACAGCACCTCCGGAAGCCCAGGACAGCATTTCCACTGAGGAGAGTGACCTGCTAAGTATGGAAGCTTGGATTAAGGAGCGAAAACAACTGCGTAATTTGTTGGAGGACTGTGTAAATCTGGAGGAATGGTTGACTGAAAAGAAGCCTCTCACTCAGCAAGAAGAAAGCATCCTGAGGAAAATAAAAAAAAAAAGAGAAGAGGCTAAAATTCAAGCCGAATTGCAGGCTCTCCAATGTGTTAAGGTAAGCATAGTAGGAAGTCAGCATGATGTCATGGTACAGAACCAGCAGCAAGAATGGCCTTTCTCAACCACATCTGGAAGGCTCCACTTGTGGATTAGAGTTTAGGACTATAATGGAGGAGCATCAATTAAAAGTCCTTGTTATCCATGATGTTCATGAGGATGACTATAAACCAGCTGTACAACCAGTCTCTCTTCTCAGTCCAGCCTATGTCTGAGAGCTGTAGTGAGGATAAAGCAAGAACATAGAGAGTCTCAAACTCTTTACAGGAGGGACAGCATAAAAAATCTAATGGATCATTACAATGTCCCAGGAACTCAGTCAAAATTATACCTCACATTTCAGTCAGGCTTTATACCAAGCCCAGCAATAAATCTTTAGCACTATGGGCACTAAATTTTGTATTTAGAAACATGCTTATAGCAGTAGGAGCAAAGGTATAATAATATGAGTTATTGGAGACAAGAAAGAAGCCATGTATGCAGAGAATATCTGTCTTTGCAGAATCCAGATCAAGGCCTTTGCATCTGCCTTTTTCTAGATTTAAAGCCTTTTCTTCCTCTTTTGAGTCAAAAGACTTTGGAACATTTCATTTTTAGTCTTGAAAGAGAATATAATATATTTGTATAGACTTGGTGTTTATATACAGGTAGTCCTCGAGTTAATGACTGTAAAGGGGTCTAGAATTTCTAAATCATGACAATCATAAGTTCGATTTTACGACTTTTTTTGTAAAATGAAATGAATGCCACAGTATTAAAATGAGGCTATTCATTCCTTTGGGTGGGTTTTTTTTTTTTTTTTTTGCCAGAAACTAGCAAAAATGTAAATTGTTGTTATTATGTGACTGCAAAACACTGCAACTGGCCATTGCCAAGTGCCCGAAATGCAGTCATGGAACTGTGGGGAGAGGGGGTGCTGCCATCAAAACTCTGGAACTTGGTAGTAAGTACCATTTGTGGGGGGAGGGCATAATTTTAAACAATTGCTAAGCGAACGTCATTAAGTGAGGATTACCATATTGTGGTTCTGCCTGCCTGAAATGTATAGCAGCCCGTCTTGCTTTTTATTTCCTTTGCAGCAAAATACAAATACAATTATAAAATGAGTTCTTGCTTTAGTATTAGCAAAGCCCTTGGATTAATAAATTTGACCAGCAAATACAATCAGTGAAGCCACAAAATGAGATTAAAAATAGGACATATGTCAGACCAGTTGTCTGTTTGTTTTTTGCCTTCAGTAATATGTCCACCAATCTGCTTGTGTTTTGCAATACAGCTGATGGTTGGTTGATTGACTGAAGAACTAACCAGGTTGCATTTCTACTTCATCAAAACAAAGTGGAGTATAATCCTTTTAAAATGTTTGGATGTCTCTTCCGCAGATCCCACCGAAGATTGAACCTGTGAAAACTATACCTCTTATTCAGGCTCCATATCCACCATCTATTATTACACTACAAAACCTTCTGCATAAGCAAAAACTCAAGCTTGTGGATCTCTTCAAAAAAGCTGACAGGAGCAGGGCAATGAAGTTCAAAAGAGTGGATTTCCTTAGAATTATCCAGGAGGTAAGTGGAAAAACCCTTCTACTCCCTAGTTGTTAATTTTTGTGACTTTTGAGTCACTGTTGACTCCTGAAGACTGCTTGGACACAAGTCCCTGGTTTTTTCTTGGCAAGATTTTAGAGGTGGTTTGCCACTGCTTCCTTCTAGGGTTGAAAGAGAGTGACTGGCCAAGCTCCCCCTAGCTTGATATTTATTTTATTTATTTATTTGATTTGCCAATTGTTTACAAGATAATAAGTATAAGTGTATACATAGTTGTGAATACATGAAATGGGTACATATAAGAAAAATAAAAGAAGAATAAGAGAAACAATAGGACAGGGACGGTAGGCACGTTGGTGCGCTTATGCACGCCCCCTACAGACCTCTTAGGAAAGGGGTGAGGTCAATAGTAGACAGTCTAAGGTTAAAGTTTTTGGGGTTTGGGGAAGAAACTACAGAGTCGGGTAGAGTATTCCAGACATTGACCACTCTATTGCTGAAGTCGTATTTCCTGCAATCAAGTTTGGTGCGGTTAACTGTGAGTTTGTATCTATTGTGTGCTCTTGTGTTGTTATGGTTGAAGCTGAAGTATTCATTGACAGGTAGGACATTGCAATGTATGATTTTATATACCATGTTTAAGTCAGACCGAAGACGGCGTAATTCAAGGATGTCAAGGATATCAAGGATGTCAAGGCAGGAGTAGAGTCTCCCATTTCTAGCCTAGAGTAGTGCCTTAACCACTGCATCACAGTGGCCATCACGATTACATACTTAGATAAGCATCAATGTAGGGATTCTTTCTTGATGCCTTAATAGGGGAAAATTGCACATGGGGTCAATAAGGGCTTTTATTTGCTCATTAGCTTTACTGACAATATGTTTTTTTTCCCATAGATAGTGAGGGGAAGGGGGACTTTGGCTTAGCATATTGAATACCACCCATTGTGATTTATTAAAATATGTTAAGCTAGTTGTGGGAAGCCTATGAGATACATGCAACCCCAGCCCCCTTATTTTGCAGTCCCGAGTGCAATTCCACATCACATTGGCAAAATACAACAGTAAAGCCACTGATTTTCAGTTATGTGATTCCTTTTTTTTTTTTTTCCATTTTAGAAGAAAGTTTTAAAAGTTTCATCATGAGTATTGTTGTTGTTTGGCTGCTAAGTCATGTCCGATTCTCCATGGCGTAGCATGACAGGCTGGACCATAGCATGACAGGCTCTCTCCTGGAGCTTGCCCTAATTCTGTTTATTGAATCAATGACACTATCTAACCATCTCACCCCCTTCTCCTTTTGCCTTCCATCTTTCCCAACATCAGGGTCTTTTCCAATGAGTCCTCTCTTCTCATTAGGTGGCCAAAGTATTTGAGCTTCAGCTTCAGTATCTGTCCTTCCAAATCAACCCCAAATCAGGCTGATTTCCTTTAAGACTGACATAGTGAGTATATCAGAGCTTAGAGAGAGTGATAGGTCCAAAGTCACCCAGCCGGCTTTCATGCCTAAGGCAAGAGTCACCTGTTTTCTAGGCCAGCACCTTAACCACTACACTAAAATTCATAGTTTATAAATACACTAAGTGATTACATATATATGGAAAACCTAAAATGTCCTAAAAAGTTTGTTTAGAGAAGCATAGAGTTGTTTTCCATGACTAGAGGATTTTATTAATTTAATTATTAATCTCGTAAAGTTTGTTCTGGAGTATGTTAGATTAAGAGCAAAAATAAATATATGAGGACAGTAAAGTCTGATGAAAAAAAATGAAGCTGAAATCTTAATACTTGGGACCATAATTGTTAACCAGGCTTTTGCTATAACATTTTAGATTCTTGTCATGTATGATTGACTTACATTATATTTAAACAAATATTTATATACCGTAATTCTTTAGAAGCATATTATATGAAAGCCATTTCCATTCACATATCCCTAACTGAATGAGAGTATCTGTTTGTGCAAATACAGCACAGAAGTGCTAGTAAAAAGAAAGAATTCCAACTGCTTCGTGACATTTTTAATGAACAGAATCACATGAGCATCACCAGTTTGCAATTTGCTGGTGTTCAAGGTGCACATTGCTTGTATTACAATTATTGGATTGCATGATTTCTCATAGAAAATTGCACATTCTGTTTCTATGCACATATTAAATGAAGGCCTGTGCACATAGTAATAATTGAAAGTGGGCCATGATTTGTTTATATCTCAATGTTGAGAAATTGTTCTCTTTGAAATAGCTGTTTCCTCTTGGATTTTTATATCATGTCAAGTCCCAGACCTAAGTGCAATTTTTATTCTCTGTTTGTTTCCAGACAAAGGTGCCTATCAGTAAAAGTGACTTAGAAGAAATCATTGTCTTTCTCACCGTTTCAAAGAAAGGACATATTATAACTGGGGCTGACTTAGCTGAATGTCAAAGATTATGGCTAGATAATATGAAGGAGAACTGGAAACAGCCAAAGCAAGGTAACAAGGAACCAAATCAATACAGTTGATTGAATATTTTTAAGTTTCTGATAACTTTGATTAGTGATAACTTACAGATTTAGTTGTTGATGGCATCATAAACAACTAAGGTTTTTTTTTGAAGGTACTGTATTTGGAAATTCTAGACTGTAATCCCAATATATTTGAAGGATAGCAAAAGAAAAATTGACATTACAATTAGTGACAGAATACTATATGTGTATTGGCTATAAGTTGGCTGTAGTTTGGCAATTTAATATATGTACAGAAATAAGCAACAGTCATATATACAGTACGTATTAATTATTTTGGTTACCTTAATAGATATTTAAAACAGATTAGTAAATATTGTGAATACCAACTGTTGAATGTAAGACAGGACATTTTTCTAATTTCTGAGAAGGTATTTCCTGAACTAAGTAGAAGCCAGCATGATAAAACAGCTCAATAATTGCTGGGAGTGGGGAGTAGATGAGGAAGAAATATTGTCTTTATAATCTATTTTCTGCTTTCTTTCCTTTGTTTTAATAACAATGCTAAAGAGCTGTTGCCTGTGGCAACATCTTCATCCATCACTGCAAAAGGAGATATAATTCCTCCTGCCAAGTCCAGTATATCTTCTCAGGTAACTTGTGAACCTAAGTCAAACCATTTGCAAGTTCCTCCCATCAACACTGAGCCAGATCGCAGGCACTTAACTTATAGCCAAATGGAAATAGTTGGGAAGAGATACAAGGAAACCAGACGGCGGCTAAAGGTACTGTATTTTTGTGGTCTGACTGTACCCTAGAATCATTTGCTTTGGATTATGGGAACTGACTACTAACAGATTGCATAAAGTAAGGATGAATTATAGGGAGAAGGCCATTTCATTTTATAGTACTTCAGATAAATCACTAAATGTTTCAACAAATAGCAATAGCAGTTAGACTTATATACCACTTCATACTGCTTTGCAGCCCACTTTAAGCAGTTTAGAAAGTCAGCATATTGCCCCCAACAATCTGGGTCCTCATTTTTCCAACCTCGGAAAGATGGAAGGAGGAGTCAACTCTGAGCCAGTCAGGATCGAACTGGCAGTGGGCAGAGTTAGCCTACAATTCTGACCACTGCCCCACCAGGGCTCTTGAAATGTAAGGGAAAGAAACAGCAACAGAGAAGGGTAAAAAAGTAAAAAAGCCCAATGTGGGCAGCATTCACAGGGATGACTGCCAAAGTAGTTCCCTATCAGCGTTCACTTAAATGTAGGCAACAGAAATAGCTCTACCTCTCTGGAAGAGTCCAGCATATGTAATTGCTGGCTAATCCTATCATCTTTCTAGTAGAGGAGTAACACCTTCCCTGAATCTTGAACAGCAGTTTTCCTATTTTCAATCAGGTTAGATGATGTAATGGGTTTTCCCATTGCTGAGTTAAAGCTGGCTGAGCTGGTTAAAAACCATACATTTATGAACCTGCTCTCCCTATTGCCCGTCTCTATACTGTCTATTGCCACTTTTCCCTGATGCTAACAGGCACCCTGACTTACCTCCTGAATAATGGGTGATGTTTATTTTTACTTATTTATCATTTTTACAAATAACTCAAGGCAAACATTTCTAACATATCTTCCTCCTCCCCTGGGATAATGGTAAGAATACAGCTTTAACACTAGACACCTGTTCAGTATAAAATGCAGAAATGGCAGATGGAAGTACTGATTCCCTCTGAACTACAATATTTGTGATAATGGGTATGCCCTCTGAAGCTTCCCTTTGCAGTAAGGCAGAGATTTTATAAACTGGAATTTGACTTTGACATTAAGAATTGATTGCTTAGTTGCAGTTGGTGCAAAGTCATTATTATTACTATGTAGCAAGCGTCCCCAGTTCACATTTTGCAAAAACATTTTTCAATCCATTTTCAGTAAAGGTTTACAACAGAGAGCTGAGTTTTTTTCTTGTGGAAGGACAAAAAAACGTCTGTGTCTTTTTAATTCATTCCCCACTATGTTACAACTTTAGCAGTATAAGATTTATTGCACAATAATATTGCTTTATAACAGAAACCCTGTCTTATTTTAACAGAGGAAGACAACTCCATTAGACTTTGCAGAACAGTGCAGACTAGTGAGGTCTGGAGACCCAGTTGTCGATAGTCACTGCTTGCCAAGCTCCCTAGAGGGTGAAATGGGAGAATTGGTAGACCAGCACCGACTGGCATGCCACTATGTCTACTGTCAGTGTATCAAGCTTTGCAAAAAATATGGAATTCCAATTTCAGAAAGAGCACTAAAAAGAGGTATGGAAAAAAACCAAACAGTTAGGAGTGCCTTATATCAGGCAGTCCAAATTTAACTTCGTGTTCCAGCTTTATAGATTCAGGATAGAAGCCACTAGCAGACAAAAATGTTAAGTGGAAGGCTATATTTCTAAATTTAGGGAAATGGGTCTAGTAGTGTTGTAATAGCACTTAGAAATCGGGTTCAATTAAATTTCATGACGTTTCTAAACAAGGATGTTAAAGATTGTGTTGAATAGCTCCGTGCAGGACTGTGAATTTGTTAGATTTTGCGGCAGAAATTCAAATCCAGAAAACACACACAGATTCAGCAGGATTCCTTAACTTCTTTATATACATAATAAATGAATAAAATGTTCAATACCAATAATAGATTCTTCCAACGTGGAGAAGGTTGCAAGCAAAAACACAAGCAACAGCTTCACAATTCAGAGCACTAGAATTCAGAGACTAGAGCCTCACCCAGGCTACTTGTAGTTTCACTTTCCAATTCAGCTCCCGCTGGCTGGTCTGTTGCCATGCCTATTCCTTGGCTGACTTTCTTACTAAGCTCTATTCCAGTTCATGAATATACTCTGACAGAATTAAAATAAAAATATTTTTTTAATCCTTACCATTTCAAAGGCAGGTTCCAGAACATGGGCAGTTCCTACTAGCCTAATATCTAAGAAAAATTTAAGAAAGGTTTGTTAATTCAAAGGACACTGGCAAGAAAATAGCGCATGTTGAACTCCGTCAGATATTTTTTGAATTTCTTTAGATTTCTGTAGTTCCACCTTGGCTTGTGTATAACACTATATCAGGGTTCTGTTTTGTGATCTTGTCTCAAACTCTGAGTTAAAGCTGCTGTCTCAGGCTCATTTCCTTAGTGAGGACCAACAAGTTACCCAACTTCCCAACTTTCATATAACAAAGAATAAATGTGTGACCCATACGGCAGATTGTCAATTACATATAGACATTATTCTGCTCCATCATTTTTAAAGAATCTTCCTGCCATAAAATGTGCTAACTGATAAAATCATGGAAAAAATATAGTTTGCAATTGATGCTGTCTGTAAACTTTAGAATGATCCATTGGTCTGCACAGGTGATTTTCCTGGGCCATTGTGAATCCAGCTACTAGTCTGAACTGTTGTTTAGAAACAGTGATTGCTGCTCTTAGAAAACAAGTAGCTTAGAAGTCTAATGTAGCTGTAACAAGTTATGCAACGTAGCAGGAGAATAGAGTTTCATCTCGCTTCTATTTTATAGTACATTTTATTAAACATTACAATGAAAACAAAACTAATGCAAATTAAATAGAAAAAAGAAAGGCTCCTATAAACTATTTTAGTAACTTATCTCCTCTTAAAAAGCAACAAATGGTCTCTTCTACCCATATCCCATCTCTTATTTATAAACAAATCATTAAAGCCTCATCATTTCAGTCCTGGGGGCAGCAAAAGTACGGTCAGGGTTATCAGAGAAAACATCTATTTCAACCTTGATCAATAAACTAACTTTATATTCCTTCCTTTTACTGCTAACAATCTCAATCTTTAGTCACTTCAAATAATAACCTAAAACTTGATTTCTTTTCTTTTTTCTTTCTCCCTTCTCAAAACATTCTTCAAAGCTTTAACAAGTCTCTTTTGTAAATTCAGTAGAGGAAAATTATTCAGACGAACATTCCACAGCTTATCCCGTATATGAGCTGATATTGTGCCCGTGTGGGCAAGGAGCCATTGAAATGACAGCTCATGTTTCCTTATGTTGTACCCTCTATGAGGATTCACAGGCTCATAACTCGGCACCAGATAAAATACTGGGGAATTCTGATCTCTTTTACAAATAGGTGTTACTATTGGATCAGTATGATAGTCACCTGGAACATAGCTAAATTCTGCTACACTTTCTGTAAAATTAGGTGACTTTGGCCACCCATCGATGATCTCACCGCTAACTTTTATATAGTATTATATCTTGTTCTGTTCTGTTTTATATTAATGTTTTAATTTTTAATTCTGCTCTGAGACTGTCATAAAAGATTGAGGTCCACAACTACTAGTCTGCGTAGTATGTTACATGTGTTCTTTAAAACAACAACAACCACTGTGTACCCTAGGTCTGCTGTACGCAGGAGACAGGCTCCTGAAACTCGGAAAGGACACCCGGAAGTTGAGGCAGCCAGGGGGATATATTGACAATTCTGTTTATCTGGGGCAATCATCTGATGCGGACAGCTCCTCCAAGGAGGAAAGGTTTGTTTAATTCATTATGCATATACAGAGATGAATTAACCAGCATACACGTTCACACAAATTCTTGGTCTATCATATCACCGTTAAAACCAGAGTTTGTTTGTCTGTTTAATCTGCTATTTTGAAGAGCAGAAATATACCCTGGATTATTCTCTTATTGCAGTAATTATCTTCTAGTTGGGTACATATATGTAGGCAAACAAGTATGCTTATTGTGAACTAGTCAGTAACTAATTTTTGGATAATCTGAAACTATGGTGTCACAAGTATATTTGGTACACATGTTACCACTGAGAACATTCTACACTAGCATAAATTAGCAGAACTGGAAGAATGATGGGGTTTGCTTTTACTTAGCTGCAAACTTACTCTATAACAGTAAACCAACAGCATTTTTTTTTCTTTAGGTTTTCCTCTTCGTGTTAGTGCTTTTTTTATTTTAAAAGCTCCAAATCCTAATCCGCATTTATTTAAGTTTCATACGAACCTAACATAGAGCAAATGTCTCTGAAGATAGGGACCCTGAGGTGTTATGTGGCTCCTTCAAAGCTTTCAATAAGCTCCTCAAAATCCAGAATTTGTCATGAAACTATAACTTCAATAGGACAGAAGGAGAACACACACTTTTTAAAAACCAAAGGCAGCCCTCAGGCCAAATAAAAAAAGATATACATTTTCACTGTCAGAAAGAACAAGTTCTGTCCTGGTTTTAACTACAACTCCCAGTAATTTTTCCCAGTTTTGACAGTGGTAAAAGATGTTGGGGATTATAATCCAGCAATATCTTGGGGACTTCAGCTACCTCACCTGTGTAAAATAATTGCTGCTCTTTTATGACACTGCAATTAATTGGGCAGAAGGGATGCTAATTTATGTACCCATCACTATCTGATGAACTGTAGACAATTCATATTAATGCCACGAAAAATTCACTATAAAAATATGCATAAATCAACACTACTATAAAATAACACTAAGGACCTCCAACCTCACATTGGCGTAATTGTCACCATAGATTCTCTGAAATAATTGATCACTAACAATTTTCAGAAGGCCTAATTGATGTCAGTTGGGAAGCACTTCCGCAACATTGGCACAGCCATAAAAAAAAAAATCCAGCATCTGCAACTGTTGGTCCTCCCCACATTAGCAATTATAGGGCCCTTAAGTGGTTTCTCCCAGGATGTGAATTGGGTGCTACAATTAGAATAGAATAGAATGAGCTGGAAGGGATCTTGGAGGTTTTCTAGTCCAGCCCCCTACTCAAGCAGGAGAACCTATACAATTTTAGGTTAGGTGTCTGTCTAGACTCTTCTTAAAAACATCCAGTGATGGAGCACCCATGATTTCTGAAGGCAAGCTGTTCCACTGATTAATTGTCCTCAGGGTTAGGAAATTTATCCTTAATTCCAGGTTGCTTTTCTCTTTGATTAGTTTCCAACCATTGTTTCTTGTCCTGCCCTCTGGTGCTTTGTGGAATAATTTGGCCCCCTCTTCTTTGTGGCAGCCCCTCAAATACTGGAATACTGCTATCATGTCACCCCTAATTCTTCTTTTCTTTAGACTAGCCAAACCCGAGTCCTGCAGCCATTCTTTGTATGTTTTAGTCTCCAGGCCTTTGGTCATCTTAGCTGCTCTTCTCGGAACTTTTTCCAATTCTGGGTAGACAAAGCAGTCCTACTAATACATCAGTGCCAATTCCCAAGTGGCCAACACATTAATGCTTAATTGGTTGCTCCCTCAACTTCCATTAATCAACCTTTGATCCAGCTAGGTTCTAGCTGTAACATGAAAAAACTTTTATAGATGAAGGTAGATAATTGAATAAACCACAATGTTCAGAGGCAGAGTTCTTCTGAAAACAGTATAGTGGGAATAAATCAGGACTGGCTGCTACATATTATGCCTTGTGCGTATGTTTCCCTAGAGACAGCTGGCTGGCCACTGTAGAACCATAATGCAGGGCTAAATCTGCTTAAGAGAACATGCAGAGCATTCACCTTTACAGATTTGGTTTCCTTGCGTCTGGTGATAACTTTTCATAACACGGAACATTGTGTGCTGTTGCTATTTTTTTAAAAAAAGGATTGTGCATTCATATATACATCTTTTTGCTTTTTCTTATCCGCTCTACTTTAGTGTAAATGTTACAGGCACATGAACAAGTGATCCCAACCCAGTTTTCCTGAGCATATTATAATGCCTTCTTCCCCGTTAATATCTAAAAATTTGGGAATGTCTACTCTGTGAAGATTCTCAGGCATTCAGGACGTGGTTGTCCCAAAGGTGCTTTCAAGAGACGTGTGGACTTTCTTGTTTTTCTTTGAAGGCATTTCGCTTCTCATCCAAGAAGCTTCTTCAGTTCCTTGGATTCTTCAATGAGAAGCAAAATGAAAAACAAGAAAGTCCAATTGCCTCTTGAAAAAGCACCTTTGGGATAAAAAATTATGAGTTATATACTCTAACACAGTCAGCTTTGCTGGATGAGGAATTCTGGGAGTTGAAGTCCACAAGTCTTAAAGTTGCCAAGGTTGGAGACCCCTGTTCTAACACATCGAAGAAACTTCAGTGTGGGGAAGACTGGTCTGATCCTAATCTCTCAATTTCTGTTCACCTTTTTTTGTTTATTTCTTCTAGAAAGCCAAAACCAATTAAGAAAACAGTCAAAAAGCCGCCTCGGGCCTGCCGCTGGAAGTCATTTAGGGAATTTAAGAAACTGATGAGGTATGTATTCAGTAGAACGGAATTATCTAAAAAGCTTTTGGAAAAATGGAGCTTCAGTATCCACAAGCACTGTCATTTCCCTTCCATTTAGATAGGCCACAATTTACAACTGTTCGCTTAATGTCCATTTGAAATTACAAGAAATCTCCCCTTCAAATAATTTACAATCCATTTTTGGAGTTACAATGGCTACATTAGCCACAGGTCACATGATCATATTTTGGGCAGCCGGCAGCTGTTTCACCATTGTGGCTGGTCGCAGCGTCCCCAGTCACATGAACGCAATTCGCAACTTTTTTTTTTTGCCAGTTTACAATGCTCCAGTTTCCAGCAAAAAACACTTCGGGGGAAAAATGAATTTGCTTAACAGCCACTGCATTCACTTAACAACTGTGGTAAAAAATGGTTGTAACTTCACATCTTGTCCCAGGATTCCTAGACTTATAACTGCAACAATTTACAACCATAATTCTGGGCTCAATTACAGGCGTAAACCAAAGACTACCTGTATTTGATTTGATTTAGCCATTCTGCAAAACTGATTTTTGTGTTTTTGCTTGTCAAAATGATTATCTTTTTTTTCTTGGACTTCTGCTCGCCTACCACATAACATTGATTTTTATTGTAAATCAATATTATTCTGTATAATCCTGCATGCTATTGGTAAAGTATTTTGCCATAGGAATAATAGATGCATACATCTTCTTATGGAATATTTCTTTGCCATGAGCTCAGCAAAATTTCTGCAATAGGATTGAACTGAGTATTTGTTTTCAGTGGACAAGACACAGAATTAGGAATGTACTCTGATATTACAGAATTATCCTAAAATTTTGTTTTCAGTTTCCAGAGGTTTTGTGCTAATCCAGAGTTGGATAGTTTGCTAAAAGAATTGTAATGTTGGCAAGCTTTTAGGAATGCTATATTGGAACTTTCAGCAAAATTCCAATTGAATTACTTGAAATCTATGTTGGATTAGTAATCTCAAATTGAGGGATGCATGGCATGAGGCCGAAAACAATAAAATGCATTTATGCAATTTATTTGTAGATTAGGCAAAGTTATCTATCACAGCAAAGATATATCTGATTCTTTGGGGTGTATTTAGATGCTATGTAGTCTCAAAGGCTATTTAGATTTCTATGTACTATCAATCTGTGAATGAATGTGAATATAAATGTGCAGAACTCCCTTCTAGAGGGAGTCTTATTTTGATGCTGTCCTACCTTGACAGCTGGCCATACAAAGGTGCCCTTCTGCACCTCTTCTCTTACAGATGGAGAGAAAATTAGGAGTAGTTTTTGCTGAAGGAGGACAGCAAATAATTGACCATAATGGTAGCTTAGCCGAGACTTTATGTTGAGAGCAGAGGATATAATTTTATCCCATTGTTCTTTGCCCTCAGCAATTTTAATGTTGGACTTCAACTACCAAATTCCCCAGGCAGCTTGGAGTTGAAGTCCACATATCTTAAAAGTTGCTGAGGTTAAAGAATACTGGGCTAACCTGTTATTTTCATTCATCAATATACACTCTACAGCAGGGGTGTCCAACCTTGGCAACTTTAAGACTTGTGGACTTCAACTCCCAGAATTCCTCAGCCAGCAAAGCTGGCTGAGGAATTCTGGG